TAGATCGTCATCTTTATCGAGCGAGACTTTCTACGTGCTTTTGCTTTATTCTTTTCTCTGGTAATAAGTTCTGTTATCATACCAAGACTTGATGTTTTCCCTGTATTGAAATAGAATATAGGTGTTTCTATAAATTGAATTGGTATTCACTCAAAAAGGTCGCGTTTTCCAAACATTACGTGAAATGTAAAATGTATAGATAGTCAAAAAAAAAAAAACTTTGTGATTTTGCAATGAGGGATTATTTGAAAATACCTATTCAAAGTCGGATTAATTCCCGCAAGCAGAATGCCGCGCAAACTGAGTGCCATACTTAAGGACGTTAATGGGCAAAATATGAAGATTGTTTTAAATTTTGCATGATGAAAGTAAATCACACTAGAAGTAAAGTAAGCAAAATAAGAATTTAGGGTCACCGGGTTCGTACAGCCGTCAGGATGCGCGCATGCAAGTTCACCTTTTTACGGTAAAAACGCGAGAACAACATAGACATGGAAAGTTTCCGAAACTAAAAGCCATATTATACTGAAAAAATAATTAGATCGTTCTCATTTTTCACTCTAAAACTCTAGAAAATAACCAAATAATGTATTAAAAATTGGGAATATAAAATTTTATTGGGCTACAAGTTTGGACTTGAAGCCTACACGTCACGTGAAATTCTATTCCAATTATTCAACAGATGACCCTATAGGTGTTCTGGGTTGCTTGTATTTTGAGCAGCCCTTGAGCTTAACAAGTTTGCAATATTAGCCAAAAGATGATCACGGAAATGTTTCGCATAAAAGAATTGTTTTTAAGTCTGAATTTAAAGATTATTTTCAAACTTTTAATTAAATATTTTAACGTAGTTATCGAAAGAAAGAATAAAGAAGATCTCCTATAAAATTGCTTCCTTAGCTTTTCTTATTTTTGTTTTGTTTTCTTCTTCTTCTTCTTCTTCTTCTTCTTCTTCTTCTTCTTCTGCTTCTTTTCAAGACATCAAGTCTTGGTATGATAACAGAACTTATTACCAGAGAAAAGAATAAAGCAAAAGCACGTAGAAAGTCTCGCTCGATAAAGATGACGATCTACTCTTTTTGCTATCTCTCCGTCTCTAAGGCCTTGATATTCGTATATTATTAACAAACTCGTATTCATTTCGGACTTTGTGCAATGACAGCCATTCTCAATCACACACGCCCTCTTGCCATTTTTTCTGTCGCGACTAAGGAGGTTTTGGTGGACGTCAATCACAAGGTCTTTCATTATTTACATTGTCGGAAAACACAAAGCTATAAGGGCACGTGCCTGTAGAATGTCATGAAAACGCTTTGATTGACGTCCACCAAAATCTACTTCGTCGCTGTTGGCACTGCTTGTCCCATACTCTTGATTTTATTTCTTACACATACGTAAAACGTACGGTAAAGAYTGAATAAACACATTAAATAGATAAATAACTTAGTACGTATGACAAATAGGAAAAGCTACGAAACATTAAACTGCAAAACGATAAGAACTATGGAAACGAATAACTTACATTTGTGTACGAAGGGACGAAACTGCGAGCACCAACTAACTAAGTATTTACATAGTGGGCGTATATAAGGCGTACGAAAGCTCCTAAGGGACAAGACTAAATGACGAAACAATGACGAAAATACTTAGACTGAAACGAGCGAAACAAAAGCTATAGAACACTTATAAACAAACTTAAAGACAAAGAGAACTACACTAAAAACTCATTAAAGGCTTTTCAGATCTAACAGTCGCGACAAAAACAATCGCTAGAGGGCGCGTGTGATTGAGAATGGCTGTAACGTCTGTAGGTAGTACCCTTGCTATAGAGGTATACAGGTATCCCAGTCTACCCTAACCTCAGGGTTTTGTTTTCATATATTGTTAACAAGTTATTCATTTCGGACAATGTGCAATTAACGTCGATAGAATTCCAGCTAGACTACTTGTCGTATGATACTCTATACTAGC